CTGCTTTTTAAGGAATAACATTGCCTAATTGCAGAGAGATGTCAGCAGTGTATTCATCATTTTTATTTCAAAGCTGTTCACCACCTACTCACATAAGCCACATTTTAACCAGCAATATAAAATATTTACACTCTAGGTTCTTGCCAAGGAGTGTAACCTCACGCTCACTCTCAAGTCTCAAAAGCTCTATGGAAAGAATATTAATATAAAATTACCTTAAGGATATAATATCCATCCATTCATACAGATCAGTGGCTCTTAGTCCTAGCTGTGCACTAAAATCACCTAAGACGCAAAAAATACTGATGTTTGTATCCTGTCTGGAGCTATTTTGATTTAATTGGTTTGATATGGGACCTGATTTGATTAATAAGAGGTTCCCTTATAAGATCTGAATTAAAAATCAAACCTGAGAGCCACTGGAACAGAAACTCTAAAGCAGCGCTTCTGATCCCAGTCGGTATCTTAGTGTCACGAGGGTGCTTTTAAAGTGGTGACGCAACTATAACAAAACAACAAAAACAAAAATATTGACGCTAGTGCCCCACCTCCCAGGATTCTGGTTTAATGGGTCTGGGGTGGGGCCGTACTTGCCGGTATTGTTTTAAAAGCTCCCACAGGTGATTCGAACATGTAGTCAGCCTGAGAATCACTGATCTAAGACCTGAACACCAGGGCCACGGTATTTAGACGCCTGTAAAAGAAAAAAAAAAACACCTGGGCAATTTTGTCCCTCTATTTACTGCAAGGAGGTGGTTCACTGTATTCTGCAGCGAAAGAGGTTTCTTTCTGGTGTCAAAAGCAAGAAGAGTTGTGCAACTTCTAAAGAAATGTGTTTGTTTTTAGTGCCTGGACACTCTGCATTGCCACTGAAAAGCTTGGACGCAAATGCAAGGCCAAAGCTTAGCAAATGTGGCACATATATTGTGGACAAACTTCATGTCATTTTTATCTGCTGTTTCCTATTCTTGTTTTTCCCTGTCCCAAAATCCTCGTTCGCTTTTCATGAATCACAAGCCTTCTTGTTTTGTTTTCTTTCTTTCTTTCTTTTTTTGTAACAAAGTGTTCTTCAATTGTTTCTGCAGCCCTATGGGACTGAAAAAAGAAAGGACAGAAGGAAAAGGGAGAAAGAAGATAAATTCAAGGGTTTCTATTACATTTATTCAACTTTGTGTACAGAAGCAAAAACACATTCATTTAACACAGATTTGCACTGCAGTGGACTTCCCCGACAGGTTTCACAGAAGAGCCCATTTAAATACTGGCATGTAAGTACCTTTAAAACAGTTGAAATTTGAGGTAATAATGCAAGGTAATAGGATAAATTTGATTGACTAGCTGGTAGTATTAAACTTAATTTAGTTGGTTTTTGGATTACCCCCAACTGCATTCCTAGAATGGAAAATTAAGGTCTCATCTGTTTATACCCTCTTAGTACCTTATATTTTCTATGCTCTAAATTTTTTATCCACAACTGTATCTCAATTACATATTTTGTGTCTGCAATTGCTTGTTTAATATTTATTACCCTCACTAAATTTAAGCTCTGTGAAGACATGGGATGGAGTTGTCATGTTCAAAAGTTAAGTTTTAAAATTGGGCGAGGGCCAAGCCAAGGATCAGTCTTTTGTATTAACACTAAAGGGTATGGATTTTGGAGGAAATGGAGAACAATTGAAAACATATAAGCAAGGTGGTGGCGTGTTCAGAATTTGATTCAGCAAAGTCTTTATGGTTCCTAGTGGAGTAGGAATGACAAGAATAATACTAGAGACAGGGAGACAAGGTGGGACATTATTGAAGTGATTCAGGTAGGAATATTGAAGGGTGAACATAGCATAGAAATGTTAGAACAGGGCACATATTAAATAAATTATAATAAGATGTTAATCAATATTTGGGCTCCCTGGGAAGCAGACTCGGAGGGGGAGATTAGTGCGCATTGTGTTTATTTGGAGTGCTCTTGGGATCAACACTGGAGGGAAAGATGGGAAGGAAGAGAATTGGAAATGAGGAGCAGTCAAGTTGTAGCACAGGCTCAGTGAACATGAGCTCTGGAGCTGGGATGGCCCCTTAGAGTTTGCCCCCAGTTGGGGCCAGAAGGCTAGACCTTCACGCTCCTGTACTGACCAGTCATCAGTGGATACAGGCTGCCCCGTGAATGGGGAGTGATTTGGGTGAAATGACTGTCTTCAGGCAATACCTGAAGGTGCATGACAAGTGCGATCATTTTGCTGGTAGCACTCTCAGCAGTTGGAAGGGGCATTTAGGTGAAGAAGAGCTCCATTGACTGAGGGGCTGAGAGAAGCAAAGGAACCCAGGGTGATAAACAGAGAGAGGCTTGGGCTGAAGATAAAAGATTAGGAGTTTGTAGTCTCATATGATGTAGCAGAACCATGGCCACTGAGAGAGTGTTGAGATGTACACAGAAGCTGCAACAACCAGACAAAGCAAACATAGGTCAGGGCATCTATTGGAAGAAAATGCTGAGGAGAAATAGTAAACAGGACAATATAACAAAGGCAAAAAGACAAATATTGCAGCAAGCCTTTCCTGGGTGCTTGCTCAAAGCAAGGTATTTTGCACATATTCCGTGAATTTGGTCTTCAGGGGAGCCTTATGAGATTGATATCATTATTATCCTAATTTTGTAAAATAGGGAATTTTGAGAGGTTCAAAATATGCCCAAATCTGATGGCTAAGGCATCAAGCCAAGACTAAAATAAGCCTCTGTCCAAAGCATGTGCTGTTTACTACTTCAGCTAGAAGATGGTGGTTTACCTTGACTTTTATAGAAAGGACCATTAAGCAAGGTTATGGAAGTACTTTTTGTAGATAGCAGTTAGGATGTCCAAGAATTCTGTCTCATTTCTGGCAAGTAGAAAATGTGAGGATAGACCAGAAGATGGATGTGAATACATTGTGGAGAATATAAATCTGGCAAGATGGAATTTTAATATGGAAGAGGACTGAGTATGCTGAGTATGTTTGTATTATAAAGGACAACTCAGAGAGAGGAAGAGGGTGTAGCTGCAGTGAAGGGAGGAGGTAGAAGGGGATAATATTCACAGAAAAGCTGGAGAGGAAAACAAAAATATCTCCCCTTAAAGCTCAAGGAGAGGAAAGTAAAGATGGTGTTGACAATTGACTCTGACTGTCAGGGGCAAAAACACTGAAGCTCTGTGTTTTTTATAGTCTTCAGATTATTCTTATAGTCAGGATGTGCCTTCATGTTCTAAGTAAACATATGCTCTTCCTTGTGTTTCTCTGAGGTTCAACTTGATGAAACATCAAACAGCTGGAAAAGAACAAGAAGCTGGAAACTCCCAGGAAAAGTAAAGATAGGAGTAAAAATGAGATAGAATGAGGAAGAGGAAACAGAAGTAATAAATCAGAGTAGTGTTGGCAAATCCCTTCAGGGTGGGAACGGTTAAGCTCGTGTCTCCGTAACCAAGAACAAAGGGCCGAGAAAACCCTTCATCCTGAGCTGGTGTTAGGAAACTGTGAATGATATAGAAGTCATCTGTTTCCTCAATGATTCACATTCCTTAGAGAGGGAGTCCTCATTTGGTCAAGCATGGTGCCCAGAAAGCAAAACAAGGATGGATAGATAGATAGATAGACAAACAGACAGATAAACAGGTGACAGACCACTTTTCATATTTTCTAATTGAATTAACACATTTTTAAAATCTGGGTAGTATTGGACCACCCATTATCTCCTGGCTTCTTGTTGACCGAAACAGACGGCCACTTGGAAACTGTGATGCCTCCCACCTGGAGTGTGCTTGGTGCACTTGCTTTTGAGTGGTTTTCGTCCTTGAAATGGATTCCTTGTAGTAGAGTGTGAAAGAAAATGAGGAAAGTCCACGCTTCCCGAATTACGCCTGCTCCCCACCGCACGTGTGGGTAATGGCAAGAATGTGGCTGTCAAGGATGACAGTTTGACTCTTGGATTTTGAGACAGTCTCAGTTGGATTTTACTTGCTTTAGAAATTAAAAAAAAAAAACTATTGAGGGGATAGCATTAAATTTCGGGTTTAGTCCCATTTATGTGAAAATTCTTGAAAAGCACCTGTCCCTCCTGTTTTTGGGTCAGACTAGAAAGAGGAAGTAAACATCATATGTTAGACACCGTCTCTATTTCCGGGTCAGTTCCTGCACAGGTAGTCCAGCCCAGTGCTCTGAAGACTTCACATTCTACATCTAGCAAATTAGGAACTTAAACCTGATGACTTTGAAGCTTCCATCTCAAATAAGTTTTCTATTATCTGGATTTAAGTAATTGCACAGCTGATCCAAAGGGCTACTTTTTTATGTTCCATAAAAGTGGAATATGCATTGTTGGCTTTGATAAATGTGATATATTCCAAGCTGTCATTGTGGCATTAGAAAGTTTATGTTCTAAATATTATTTCACCAAAGAGAAAAGTATTACTTGACAGATAATATAAATTATTACCAGCAAATTCAATTATAAGCAATACTTCCCCTTGCTCTTGCTTTTTGGATCTTAGGAATAAACTATGAAATCTGAATGTTTTGATTAGGACTCTTCTGTTTATAAAGTATCAGTGGTTTTAGTAGAAGTCTTAAAAATAATGCCCAAACATTTCTCTCTATCCAGAAGCCTTTACTGAAACCAGAATTTATTAACCATATTCAAGAAAAGTAGCTTAGACTAGAAGAAAATTATAGATCATCCAAAGTCCACAATGTTTCTCAGTTGCTCTCCAAAGAACTGGCAAGATTTTGGTGTTGTCTTCAGTTGTGGCTCAACACATATATTTATACTTTTATATCAGAGTGATTTTTAGACAGGAAGGTTTCAGCTCTGTAATTAGCAATCCACAATGGAAGCTCTGACACATAATTACAGCATTGCTAAGGCAATAATAATAATATGAGAAATACTAACACTGAATGTAGTATTTCTTGACACACCTCTGGCTACCTTTTTATTGGCTGGGAAACAATTATATATGCCTACTACATAATCCATTCAGAAATGAATGCGTGTGTACAAAGACAGAATGCATTTACGATGGGTACTTCTAGTTAGGCCAAGTTCAGTCACTGCTGCTGGTCTGGACTAAAACGTTATGGGCAGTAACAGTGGAGAACACCATCAGAGACTGCCGTAGACGCACAGAGGCCTCCACGTTCTGGATGGTGAGCAGCTTCGACCGCAGGTTGGATCGGGCTTCAGAGTAAAGGTGATGGCATTTTATCCGCTGCAAATCACTGGACTGGTCCTTGGGTTCCTCGGCATGGTTGGGACTCTTGCCACAACTCTTCTGCCTCAGTGGAGAATATCCGCTTTTATTGGCAGCAACATTATTGTCTTTGAAAGGCTCTGGGAAGGGCTCTGGATGAACTGCATCCGACAAGCCAAGGTCAGGTTGCAGTGCAAGTTCTATAGTTCTTTGCTGGCTCTCCCACCTGCCCTGGAGGCAGCCCGGGCCCTCATGTGTGTGGCGGTGGCTCTCTCTCTGATTGCTCTGATTATTGGCATCTGTGGCATGAAGAAGATTCAGTGCACAGGCTCGAACGAGAGGGCCAAAGCATATCTTCTGGGGACTTCTGGAGTCCTCTTTATCCTGACGGGCATCTTTGTTCTGATTCCGGTGTGCTGGACAGCCAACATCATCATCAGAGATTTCTACAACCCAGCCGTGCACGTAGGTCAGAAACGAGAGCTGGGAGCAGCACTTTTCCTCGGCTGGGCCAGTACTGCTGTCCTCTTCATCGGAGGGGGTCTGCTCTGTGGGTACTGCTGTTGCAACAGAAAGAAGCAAGGGCACAGGCATCCAGCCCCTGGGCGTTGTGTGTCACACACAGATAAGCCACCACGGAATGTGACAGTGCTTAACAGGGCCTCCACCAGTTACGTCTAATACCTGCTTTCGGCTTAAAGTGTGGATTATGATCAGTGTGTTTTATAGAATCCTGCCAGAAACTGTAAGTAAGCCAAGCAGGAGAACTTGCTTGATGACTGCTTTCAAACTGAGATGAAATGTTTGAAGGACATACAGATTGTAGTCACCTGTGGTAGGAATAGACATGACTTGGGACATTCTGACCTCATGTGCATTAAATGCATTTACTATTACTGGACTCAAATAATCCTCTTTCCAATTTGTGCAGTCTAAAATCAAGTATAACCATAATCCTTAGTAAAATGGTAGACTAATCTTTTCTCACAATCATATATTATCTGTTAAGAAATCCAGATTCTATTGCAGTTGATAATCTACAGCAATAAAACATATTCTAAAGCATAACCTGTTATTTTTTTCTCCAAATTATTTTTATGCTTACATGGTGACAGCTAAAATGATGACTTTTTTCTTTTTTAAACAACTAATCTGAAAAATAATAGACATCAAATAAGAATTTTCAATTGAATTTATCAAAATATGGAAGTGCTCATTCAATGCAGAGATTTGTTACTCCTTTAGGAAACACACATGCACAGGAAAGTAAACACTCAGGGAGAAGGAAGCTCTCATTTCTGTTAGGATCTTTAAAAAGGTAATTTTAAAGCAGCTAAGTTATGTAGTTAAACTTGTGTGGAATTATATATTCAAAGGAAAATGATTTATAAATGAAAAACTATGCTTTCATAACCTATGATGTGCATTACAAGCAAACAGAAGTACCTTTCTTGATAAGACTCATCAATAGAAGGCTGTGACGTGCAATTCTCATCAAGAGGAAACACAGTTCTCATTAGAGAATCAGGATTTGGGTGTTGAAGGAAATGGTTTCTGTTCCCTGTTTTATTTAGTCATTATACAGTTCTACTCACGTTACGTAAAAAAGAATCCAGGTTATGATTCAGGTAATTAGTCAGGCCAAAATAAGTCCTCCTTTTTATTCTCTAATAAAAACAGTCATGGCTAAGACATAGTGTTTTGGTTGAATTATATGCATTATTTTCTCAATTCTTTACTTCCCATGTATTTAACATCACATTTAACATGCCAATTTTGGGTTAAAAGTGTGTGGGATGGGTGAGTGTGGGTATACAAGTGTTCATGGGACAAGACAGCTCATATGGGATGCTTCTGAATATCTCCAAAGTCCTGTGAACCGATATTCAATTTTAACTCTTCAAGTATTGTGTTTATTTTGTAATAAAAATGTATTTCATTCACAGTATATAACTATAGTGAACAAATTAGGTTTGCTCACCAAATATTTCTTTTATATCCACACTTACAAAATAATAAAATATAAAATAATAAAATAAAGTACCTAACATATTTCAATATTTTCAATTTAATTTTCAAATTGACCATGGGGTCAATTTGAGAATGAGTTTGTCCTCAAAAGATCATCTAATAACTCAGAAACATTAAATTAGTGATAACTCGAGGCTGGATGTTCATGTCAAACCCTCACTCCATTCTGCAGACCACCAGCAAGACTTCAATAAGTCAAACCCTTGATAATATAAAGCCATATTTGAAAAATTGATAGCCCATTAATGATATAGACCATGTAAGTATGAATATTTTCAAATAATAGCAAAATTAGAATAATAATAGTAAAAATTAGAAAAACAATAATTAGATTTTCCTAAGATTGTTTTTTTCTTCAGATTTAATTCAGAAAGGCTAAAATATTGGGTGTGTTGAAAAAGAGTCATTTATCTTATGCAGGCAAATAAATAAGACATCAAGACAAGCAAGATATATGCTTAAGGGCTGTCATGGAATCATTTGTCTTGCCCTTTGGCTCACCAGAAGAAGTAATTAGCCTTGCAGGATGAGTTCCAGAATCTAAATGAGGCATGTTATCCTGCTAGCCAGAGAAGCAAAGAGTAAAATAGTATAACTCATGGTAGAATCATAAACTTACTGGAGATACCATTAGCTACTGAATACGGGGCAAAGTTTTAGAGACAAAAAATTCTTTTCCTTGCCCTTCCATTAATCAAGTTGTACTTTTGGGGAAAAAAAAATTCTAAAAAAAGCCCTCTCCCTGCTGCGATATTTTTTCCTACTACACCAAAAAATTAATAATTTTCAATGAATTTCAAGGCACACTATGGATATAAATCTCATACCACAAATATATTCAACACATACCAGGTACTGAAAAGCATCTTTTTTTTTCTCCAAAATGCAATTTAAATTCAACTTTGTGGGTATTTTCCCACATATCACACAGTTCTTGGGATCTTCTGCAGGGATAAGCAGTGATTGGGAGGTGGATTCGGAGGATCAGTCCATGACCATCAGTCCACACAGGCTCCTGAGAAGGTGTCTGTTGTACCTGTGCACGTGGTCCCTTTAGGCATTTCTGTCTTGTAAACTCTCCCTTATGCTTGGCAGTCTTTTTTTGTGGTTGTCTTGTTCTTGGCTGTTTGGATCATTGGCTGTTCGCAACGCTGGATGCATATTAGAACTGCTGGGGGAACTTTGAAAGCTACCAATGCAGCCAGTGTTCAAATGATCTATGCCACCATTTCCTAGAGTCAGGGAAGGAACCTGACCTCCTGGCTTGGTTACCAGCTGGCTACAAGCACTGGTGAAACAAACTGTGCCTTCTCCCACACAATCTTTTTTTTTCTTAAATATTGCTTCCAGAAATCTTCTCCACTGTCAAATTTTTACACAGTTTCATAGACACTTAGCTTTCAAGAAACAAAAAAATGCATAAATAAAGACTAAAACTTTTCTAAGCTATTTTATTTTTATTTTTGCTATCTACTCCACTGAGCCTGTGAAATGCATCGCTAACTCCCTTCCAGAATGGAGACCAGGAAGATCGGGGACGGGGGAGGGGTGGATATAATATTATCCAGCCACACATGGTTAAAAATGTTTTAAAAGCCTAACACTTTGTAGGTTATAAATTTAATTAAATGCACACTAATGATTGTTTCTTTTGCAGAAAGATCTTGACATACTTGAAAACATTCTGTTGGGTTCACTTGTTCTCCACAACTACCACATAATGTAGACAGTGTAGAGATTATTATTAATATATTTTAACTAAGAGAACTGAAACTTATAAGTTATATGGCTTGGCCAAAGTCAGATAGCTAACATTGAGAAATCGGGAAGTCAACCATAGTACTAAGTAAAGATTTTATGAATACTTAAGGAATGATAAAGAAACTATATACATCAGTATAACAGTCTGAGATTTTCACTAATATGGAGTGCCTCCTCCCACAGGGAAGAGAAGAAACAATAGAACTCAGAAATTTAAAGACAATTGTTAATTTTTTAGTCTGAAAAGACTAAATTCTGAGGAGATAGAGGGCAAAGAATAAAATGGCTCAGTCAGAATCAAGTTTTTCTGAATCTTAAGACTATAGAATGATTTCTTTGGATGAAGGTAAAATAAAAGGAGCAGAGATAAAAGAGTTTAAATTTCAGTGTGTCCCTGGGAAGAACCCTATGGCCCCTCCCTAGTCCAGTTCTTGGAGAAGGGAACAAAGGGAAATGATAAACTCTTTGATGGGTTTCTGAATTTAAGTACAGAAACTATCTCTGTCCTGACCCAGGTGGAGCCAAGGATGTTGACAGTTTTCCTTCTGCCCTCACAGAGCTGAGAGAGGAGGAACATCTCTGTGATGTGTTTAGTCTAACAAACCAAGAGATAATCTAGCCAATTTTTCCACAGCTAGAACACTGGGAGGACACGAGTATCTCCTACTCTCCTGAGAGAGGAACAGAGCAGTCCAAAAGTCCTGGTTGTTGGGACAAAATGAGAACAGAGTGAGAACATGCATGGATGGCCACGTGGGGCTGTCCATGGCTTGTTTGTCTCCAGATCCATTCCTTGACCTTCCTCTGCTCTAACCTGTATCCTAAGGAGGTTGATCCCGGCAGGTGGTGCAGTGGTGTGCCAAGAGTGGGTGGTGGCAGTAGTCCTCACCAGGACAAGCAATAAGAGGTGCCTCTATCTGTAGAGAATTTAAAAGTAATAATAAAACCACCTTAATCAGACCTATTATTTCTTATCTTTACATGATGGACTTACTAAACAATGTCAGTGATAAAGTACTCTTACTCAAAAATTAAAAAAAAGTTTTGATCTAAGTCCTGAAAATCACTGTAGTTGCTGTCACTGTAAATGATAGATAGATAGATAGATAGATAGATAGATAGATAGATAGATAGATAGATAGATAAAGGGATGAACTGTGTCGCCTGCCAAAATTCATATACTAACGTCCTACCTCTAGTATCTCAGAATGTGACCATATTTGGAGATAGAGTCTTTAATGAGGTGATTAAGGTAAAATAAAGACATTAAGGTGGGACCTTAATTCAATGACTGGTGTACTTAAAAGAAGAGGGCATTTGGACACAGACAGGAGCAGAGGGAAGACTATATGAGACCCAGGGACAGGACAGCTATCTACAAACCACAAAGCCTTCCTTTAAGGCCCTCAGAAAGAACCAACTCTACCAACACCTCAATCTTGGACGTCTAGCGTCCAGAACTATGAGAAAATAAGTTCATGCTGTTTTAACCTACAAGTACGTGGTTGTTTGTAACAGCAGCCCTAGCACAAAGTAGTTATAGACAGCCAGATAATAGATAAGATAGAAGACATTAGAAAGATTAGATCGATCGATCGATAGATAGATAGATAGATGATAGATAGATAAACTACAGTGAGGTTTGACACATGGCTACATGCATTTGTTTCAAGAGACAGTTTTTCCTTATATTACAAAAACAGTTTTATTGTTTTAATTTTTTAACACAAATAAAAACTCCCAGTCACTGTGAAATGACAGAATTAAAGTAACTCAAGTTCTGTTCTTCTGTCTTGATAGCGTTTATGCTGCAGGAATTGCGGTGCGCACTGTGTATACATCAGCGAGCTCCAATGAGCCTGGCCTGTTATGAACTGACTGGAGTTTCTTTAGAGTAATGTCTATAAAGAATAGAGTGGTTATTAAAGGATAAATAATACAAATGTGTTAACCTGAAGCTTACAACTGGAAACGGTTTCTCCCGTACAGGAGAAATGTAAGAAAAATTGATTTGTATCTGGAAGTGAGATACACCAGATAGACCCTTGAGGCTATCTTTCCCCGAGTTCCATGTTCAGGGCCGCCTGCTAGACTTGGCCAATAGGAGGCGCAGGTAGGAGATGGGAGGGTAGTATTGCTCTGCCCCTTTTCTCTTTGGGCAGATGCCTCCAGTGGTGACTATGTCTTCTTCCCAGGTCACCTTAGATCCAGCTTCTGCTAAGTGCACCTCAGCTCTTGGGTCTAAAAATTATTACTTTTCTTTTAATTTCCTCATC